CGCTGCCCCCGTCCCCTCCGCCTCGCTGCAGCACGGCTCCGCACCGCGGGGACGCTCGCACACCGCCCGCCCGACCAGACAGACAGCGAGCGAGCGAGCCGGGCCGCAGCGGGCGGGGCTGCCGGCAGGGCTCCGGCCTTCCTCTCGCTCCTCCTCGGTCAACAGCGGCGCCCGCAGCCTCCTCCCGGCACTGCACCCACACACCGCTGGCCGCCTGCCTTTCCCACGGGCAGCTCGCCGGGAAGGGACTCTCGCCATCGCTTTTCTTCAGCCAAACTCTCCTTTGTGCGTCGAGGCGATCTTGACCAGAAAAATATAACGCGTCTCCCGTGAGTGTGTGATTTCTACCGCACGGGAAACTTGGTTTTGTAATGCTTTTTATAATATATCTATTATTTTTTCTTATTATGATGTCTAGAATACTGGAAGCCTGATCCCATTAGTTCCAAAGCACCACATGCACCACGAATTCGATAGTTTTTTGTAGCAGTCGAACTTGAATGGCGTTTCCCTCACCCTTTCTGCAGATAAAAGGGCGTTGTTACAGCAACAGTAATTCCCCGCAGCCGACCAATAGGATAAACCAGCAATGATCCTCCCGCAAATGGAGACCGGGATCTCATGCATTGGCTTTTCTCTTAGCCATTCTGATCTTTAACTATGCGTGTTATTTTTACTCCACGGGTAAAATTACTTGCTAATGGCGACAGTTATAAAGTAAAATAATTTTTCGTTACAGGACGTGTATTATATTACAAGGCTTATCTCAGTCGTCCAAAAGCACAGTCTCCATCAGGAACTATTGTAGCTGTCATGCTTGAATCACCGGTACAAGGACAGCAAAAAATAACAGTCCCTGATATAGAAAATATTCAGACCCACCCGCCTCGGAGAACGAGAGGTATTCAGGCTCATTAACCCAAGCAGCAGGAACTTTGATTTTCTCAGAAAGCACGGTGTAAGAAATTGATGCTTGCCAGTAAAGCATCCAACTAATTCTTGAATCTTCATGTTGGTAGGACACCTTTTCACCAAAATACTGTAGAAGACAAGGATGGCTGCACACCCTAAACTATGCTTGAATGTGCACATGGATTTTAGTCAAGTGCCTAATTGCTACCGGTTTGAATATTTTCTGCTCGTTTTATATATGTTCTCAGACTGAGTAGAGCCCTCCATTCTAAACAGGCAAACACAATAAGTGCTGGAAAATATGTCTGAGAGGCAAAATTTCTCAGTATAGTACTACACTGCTAACGCGATCAACCAGGTCCAATCAGCTCTCTTTCAGAAAAGGGGAGAGGAAAAGAAGACAGGGTCTGAAATACTAAACGCTTTTGTTTTTCGTGGGTTTTTTTTTTACATTTTATTTTGGTTTTTTTTTTCTTGAGATCCCATTCTACACCTTCACTTGTGTATTAAAGACAGATCAAAAAAGGTAAAAAAGATGGAATTACCACCCAGCATGGAAGAAGAAAAAGAAAAATAACTGCACAAAGAACACAGACAAAAAAAAAAAAGAACGGCAAAAATAATTCAGAAAAGTCATGCGTGGACAAAATTCACCCGTCCCATTAATGCTGCCATTCCTGCAGCAGCCTTACCCCAAGATGAGAGGGCTCACTATAGAAGAGGTGAAAATTCACGAGCGAGGAACAAGCTATAACTCCTTCAATCAGGAAGACACACGCATGTCTCCTTCAGGAAAAAGCATTAACAAACAGTACAACAGTTTCAGAAAAAGCGATCAAGAAGGAAATATCTTCCTTCAACACCAAGAGTCCACATTTTCCCGACTCCGTCACGGAGAATCATTGATTTACCGCGTTCAATGTTACTAAATCATTCATGGGTTGTAGTAAAAACCTCTCAGCTGAACCTGAACCTGTGACCACCAAAGAAACAAGA